CGCTTCCTACATAAATCTCGAGTACAGCTCAAGTAGCACCACAGGTACACAGCCCAGTGCCAGACGGCAGCAGAGGCCATCCCCAGGAGAGCTGCATGTTCTGCAGGTGACAAACTCAGTTCAACTGACACCCAGAACAGTTTCAGGAGCCGCATTTTTGAGGGATAATTTGAACTCAGTAGTAACGGCTATCCATGCAGCACTGAGGCCTTTCTGTACCAGTACAGCCCAACATTCCAGTGCTATAAGGCAGACAGTATCCTTAGCTCCAGAGCCACACGATCTACCAAGCAGTCCTATGACCTGTACCTGTCCCAACTACAGCACACCACCAGCACTCTACCTAGCGAGGGCTGTTGTGAGCCAGCAGCTTTAGCAGAGGGACCATTTTGCTCACAGAAGCAAGATAAAGCACAGCAGAAGCACTTGTTCAATGCTTTACTGGCAGCAACTCTGCTCCAGAAGCACCATATTAAAACTCCCCTCCAGAGCGCACCAGTCTTGTCATGCTGAACACAGCAGAAAGGGTGCAAGTTAAACCCAGGAGATGCAATGGGCTGACGACACCAAAAACAAAGGTGAAGTCACAGATTTCTATCTCAAATCTGACTGCAAGGAACACTGTTATCACTCATGTCCAGGAGTTAAAACACTGGAAGGAAGAGAGAAAGAACCACATTTGAGTTGTGATGAACTTAACTCACCTTAACTCCTGCTCCACCAGCTCAGTATGAGCAACGTTTCTGTGAAAACTTTACACCAAGCTACCTCAAAATACAGAGAGAGGATATGATTCAAGCCAACTGTTTTACACAAAAAATCTGCTACTTCTCCCTTTGAAAATTCAGTGAGGCTTGAAAGCAGGGCAAACCTAAACAAATTAGAAGAGTTGTTCCTTACTTCAGAACTGACGCCTTCAGACCCTTCCATTCAACTTCATCAAGCACTTCATTTTTAAGATATTCCATGTACCCAGGACACATGTATTCACTCAGCCTATTCTGTTTAGATGAGACAATAGTAAGGACTCTTCCCCACTCCTCCCCTAAAAGACAGCCTGTAAAGTTGACATCAGATACAAGATAAAATACATCACTTCCAAGATAAAGCTGAAGTCAGACACTACCTCAGAAGTATCTGGACAAATCTCCAGGATTTCACAGGCAAAAATCTCACCAGCAGACCAACTTCTAAATCCTGATTTAGAAGTTTGACACTGTGCAAACAAAAACTGAAGAATGAAAATTGTCTGATAGGCACAGTTGTTTGCTACAGGTCACATCATCTTTCTGTAAAAGGGAAAACTTACCTACCCAGTAAGTTTAGAGTGACACACACCTTGGTATTTAAATAATTGAGATCTAGAGATGTAGGACATAAGTGAATTAGGAGCTAACTCTAAACAAATGCAGGTTTTAACAGGATAAATTCCTATTCTATACCAACACAGTGTAAAGGTTACAAAAAGCTCTATGTTGGAGGAACAGAGCAGCACCAGGCAACAAGCTTTTTATAACATGGCAAAGACTCTGAATTCCACAACGAGGCTGAGCTGCCCCTCACCCAGCACAACCTATGGATTCCCAGCTTCACAGAAAGATTCACAGCTTTCTCTTCCACACTTATATGCACTAAGCTACCAGTATGTTGTTTAAACTCTGAGTTCCAGTTAAAGCATTATCAAAAAAATAAATCCAAGTAACCAAGACAGCATGATTTTTGAGGGGTGACAGGTAAAGCAGCTCTTCAGAAGTCAGCCAACCAGCAGCAAATTCTTCAGACAAGTTTTAAACCACCACATTTGCTTCAACACATACAAGTCTGCTGTCAAGTCTTCCAACAACACTCAGCATACAAGTCACGTAGGGGAGGATACAATGGCCAAACCTGACTAATTGCTACTGAAATATGGTGCTGATCGTGTTTCCTTTTGCAAAGATGATGGATGCACTGAGTTGTTTTACCACAACTCATCTTCAGCTGAACAAGCCTTCTCTGAAGCAGCCCTAGGGTGTTCCTTCACCTTCTGCACTTTCGTTAGCAACAAACAGTTCAGCAGATCTTCAGAACACCAGCCCCTCACAGGGACCCTGCTCTTCTTCCTAAGCTTCCCAGAGTCAAACAGCAGGCTTGAAGCTCTAGAAAACAGGTGCTGCAACACCACTTTCAAGTTTACTATTTATCAACCAATGAAAGTTCAAAAGCTGACCTTTTACAAGCTGTAAAAAAACCCAGCTCTGCAACTGCACCACAAACATGCTTCACGGCAACATCTTCAGACTCCTAAAAGTCTTTTCAGCAATAAAACCACCGAGAGGCACAAGCCTAACTGAACAGACTTGAGTGTTCTCTACAGAAGCAGGTATCCCACTCCAAACCCAATCTAAAAATTCAAACTAGCTCTGGGAAATCTTTAATTGTCTTGGCAAGTGTGCGTATAAAAATTTTGGAGTTTAAGCACATAAATCAGTTTTTGGAGGGCTTTTTGGCATTAGGTCTTTCTTTAAACTGTAAGCTTAACTAGATTCTCCCCAGCCCACCTGCTTACTTTCATAATGGTAATTTTCGGCACAAAACCTGAAGTCCCTTCTTGCCCTTTTCATGATACAAGTAACTTAAGATCAGATTCTTTTGACAAGGCATGTTGTAACTTACCATTCCTTGTAAAGTGAAGCCAGTTTAGCTCACTAACAAATGTTACTGGATCCGCAGCATATTTTTCGAAAAATTCTTCCTAACCAGTGCACTGCTTGGTCTGCTGGGATTGACAGAGTAGCAAGTGTTTATGATGAGAAAAAAATGAATTTTCTTGGAAGAACCAGAAAAATACAGTACCAGTTTTTATAAATACTCAGAAATTGGGAGCAGACAAGGTAGATTAAGCCACACTGCAATTTTGGGGCTCCTGAAATATATTCAAGTACAGGAGGCTTAGCCCTACTAGGTCTCTAATTTGGGTCTAGGAGTAAGAAGTATGCAAGAAGCAGTAAAGGAACTGCATTCAGCAAGGGCTGGCCAGATAATCACTGCCCCTGAGTAGTGGTCCAGTCTCAGGCAGTTGTACACACTGCTAACACAGTTTAGAAAGCTGGGCAGTAACCTGTAATGTTTAGAAAAATAAGCTACAGGGCACAGCCTCATGCAGCTTACTCTTTAGTGAGCTGCCAAACGCTTTCCTCCCCAACCAGAACAAATCAAGCTGTCTTATGCAAGAGGAAAAGCCTTCATACCTTAGTGCTGAATGAGAACATGGCGGCCCAAGGAATGATGCAACAGCACTATTAATTTTAATAGGACTGCTCTCTGGGTGTGACCCTCAAAAGGACAGGAGCACCTAAACTTGTACCTTATACAAACAGCTTCTTAAAGCACTACTCTGAAAAATGAAAGCAGGAAATAGCTCTTCTCATCCTCGTTATCCCAATCTCACCCTTGTGGACAAAAGATGAAAGGATTCTGTTTGATTTGACACCTCCACATGAACACCGCCCCCAGCCCACGCAGGGACAGTGATGAACCCAGCCACCCTCTGCAAGCAAGCGCCACATCAAGCAGGTTTCAAGATTGCTTCCTACTCCAAGCTAATTACACCAGCAGGTTTGGCATTGCTTCTTCTCCCCCTCAGTGAATTCCTAAAAGAATTCCCATCCTTAGACCCTTCCACTGTTAGGTTATCACCAGTCTTTCGAGAGTTCATAGGAAGAAGTGCCTATGCAAAAAAATATTGCAGGGGAGTTAGACTGACCTAGCAATTGCAAGCTCTTAAAGCAGCCTAGCAGTCAGCACTGGAGAAGCAAAAAGATAATTTGGCTGGAGTAATGAGCTAAGTATAGAGCCACCAGGACAAGAGCTCCCCAATTATTTTTGCTTTTCTTTTGATGCGAGTGAAACAGCTTGGGAAGAAGCAGCCTTCAGCTGCTGCTAGAATCAGTTACGGAAGCTGCTCTAAGCAAAGCAACAGTGAACTTGTGCTTCACAAATTCTGCAAAAGTAGCACCAAGAGTCAAGATCAGCACCTTCTAAATCACTGAAGGTTTGGCTGGTTTTTTTTTAACCATCCTCAGTTCATTACCATATGTCAGCGTTTCAGGGAATGCTACTCACTTTAGAAAACCCCAACACCACACTCACCTTGTCTAGTCCTCTCACCAGATCAGTGTTCAGCAGTTTCCCTCAAGTATCAGCATTCATCCTCTCATTTAAAAGCTAAAATTCCAGTTTGACATGTGGAAGATATTTTGGCTCCAGCTAAAGCCTGCAGAACTGAAGTGGGGAAAAAGCAACATGACAGCAACCAGGCATGTTGTTACCATTATGCAGCTACACAAGAAGCTCCTATTTTCTGAAGTTTCTGTTAATGAATATTTATTATTCTTTCAGTTTAACAAGGGTGTATGAGCATTACTTACACAGCTATATATATCCACTGATACCCCATATGGTCACAGATTCTGAACGAGGGACCTATGATTAGCTGTACCACCACGGTTTTCCTGCAAGGACATTTCCACACACAAATACCCTAATACATGGATTGAGCATTTGTAGGTACACTGCACATACAGGTATACTGTCAATGTATTCGAATTGTAGGCTTTTTTATCATGAACTAGGAGTTTTAGAGCAGAAATCTGGTCTCCTTAGAAGTCCAACCAATCAGATGCTTCCCCTTGGTTTTGCCAAAACACGAGCCAGCAACAAAATATTAAACACTTAGACATGGATCTCCAAAACTGAAAATTTCCACATGGCTACTCTCTGCAGCCCCAATTTACTCATCTGTTACGTACAAGGATGCTCTGCAGCAGTGAAGTACACTAACCAAACACATCGAAATCATGTGATACTCACGCCTGAGTCTGAAGGGATTAAGAGATTCCAGTCCAGAGCAAAAGAAAACAAGCAAGCTATTGTGTCCTGCATTAGAAAACAGCTATGCCTTGACCATAATCCCTTAGCCAAACCTACAAGGAAAGCACAGCAGACCTCAGAATATTTACCTTGTTCAATCTCCCTCCTTTTTCCCCTCAGAGAGTTCAGATTTTCCCAAAGTGCAAAAAGGTGCATTCTTTTGGAAGTTACTCAAAGAAAGGTTCACTGAACATAGACAAAGATGATAATTTAATTATAATGGGTATCCAACCAGAATATAATGCCCCGTTCACAGCAAATTCCAGCTACCAGCAGTGAGAGAAAATTAAGAATCTGAATTCTCAAATGAGAATTCTCATGACTCATGACTAGTATGTCCACCAATCACTACACAATTAAAGAACAGGAATGCTTAATTGTAAAGATGAACACTCGTTTGATAAGGATTAGTCATTAATTTGATGAAAAGCTTATCCACTCTAAAAAAACATGCACAGTGCTTAGATGGAAAGAAGTAAAAGGTCTGCAGGCAGAGGCAATAAACTTGCAAGTTTACATTAAGTACACTTCAGTTGCTTTCCGCTTCCATTTATTAAAGGAAAATAATCAAACTAACCTAGAAACACAATCTGCTTAGACATTTTAGTCAGGTTTCTTGGATCAAAAGTTCAACAATGCCTACATTACACTAACATATTTGTTCTCAGAAGTGAAAAAAGAAATAAAGAAAACTCAAGTAGAACAATAAAATAAAAGTTATCAGCTCACACCACTCAGAAAAGGTGTTTCTACTCTAGTCAGACCATGGGAAACTTTGAAGAAGGACAGAGCAATGTCCTCACAGTAATTTTCAAACAAAGCTGCTCTATGTGGTAAGTGAGTTTTCTTCTCACAGCCTCTCATTTTGGCTCACCTGTTTTTTCATGAGAGAGACAAGTATTATGAAATCCTGAACTTACGGAGGACCCACAGAACAGTAAAAGTCAGCTTTGACAACAGTTGTTTTGGAAGTTAGAGAGGACGCTGAAGGCTGGAGGCAGGTAAAACAGGGCAGTTTTCAGCAGCAACAAATCCAGAACTAGGTCTGAAAAGGTCTCGGAGCAAACACCCCATCAAGGATGCACCAAACAGTGTAATTACAAACAGCAGAACTTCACAGCACCTCATTTTATCTCAGGTAAAGTTTCAATGATAGCAATTACCAGCTCACAGATAGCAATGCAATAAGTAAAGCTTTCACAGGTACACATTTAGGTCAATTACAGCTACAGGAGATGGAATCAGACAGCCAAGCAACTCGCTCACTCCCTGTCCTCATCTACTTGCAGAGAAAACAAGGATAGTCAGGCTGCTGGTCCCCTTCTAACTACCAGATAGGAAATTCTAGGGAAATGCTTTCCTCCAATTCCAAACCTAGCTGCAACCACTTCCATGAGCAGCTTAGGACAAACTCATTTTAAAAGCATGTAGCAATAGCCTAAGAGTGACAGGACAGAGCTTAATGCCAGATCAACCAGTAGACTGGATCACTCTAACATCTTCTGTACAACAAAATGAAGGCTTCCCTTCAAAAGTAACTGACGTACCGACGTTTGTCAGTAACATCTGACTAAGATGTAACATGTAACATCTACGTAAGAAGTTAAAGGTACTAAGGCTCCGCAGTCATAAGTAGTTCCAAATAAACTGTTTCCTAATCTCTCCGGGTGCTCAGTCTTTTTGTAACCCTTCCTTTAATTCAGCCTTCAGTTTCACTCAACTCCTCAATACTTTCAGTTACCATTTCTAGCAGCTAAATAACTGAAATCAAAATTCTCATAGCCTACTCATGACCCATGAGGTGCTAAACTCTACATGACAGAAAGACTCAAGGAAAGATCTGATCTTCCATCTATTTGCTCAAATCCTGCCACCAGCTGTACCCGCTCCCCCCAAAAAAAGAGAATCCTACTTGCACAGAACAGCTACACCACAGAGAAACAGAGGACTCGCACTCCCAGGACTGCGAAGGTTTATGATCCACATCCCAACACAAAAGGCTGCTCGTGGGGCAAGCTGGGGAGGCAGCAGAGGCCAGCCGCCTTGCAGGCAAGTCCTGCCTTCGCTCCACTCTCCAAGGGCAGCCAGCAAGGCTGCCCAGCGCATCTTGACTTCACAGACTGGGCTCCAACCTACACCCTTCGACAGGCATTTCCGTCCTCGCCTCGCACGGCTGGCTGGGAGCATTTCCTCCAGTCACTTCTGCAAGCAGAGAAAGCAGCACCAGTCTCCTTCTGTCGAGAGCCTGCCCTTTCCCAGTTCACACAGGAGTCAAACCCATCCTTTAAAGGCATAAGGAAAAGAGAAACTATTTTTATTTCTTCCTGAAGCTCCATCCTTTCAGGTAACACTACAGAATTAATGCTTTGATTATAGCCCTAGTTTCCAGTCCCAAAGCTGGAGAAGCAAATGAGGCCCACAAAAGGGCAACAGAAAACTGTTCTAACAGTGTTTCTATAAATAATGCCTATACCAGTGCACAAATCCCTGCTATTAGAAAGAAAAACTACAAAGACTTAATTATGGCAATGCAGCAGTCTTCCTCCACAATTTCAGCTTGAAGGGTATTGCTTCCCTCCCATACTGACTATATATTCTAGGAACTAAACCTCGTAGAGTACCAGAACAATCAAGAAAATACTTAAAGAGTCTATTAGACTTGTATACACAAAGGACATCATACAGACAGGCACCCCAGAGATCGCTATTTCAAGCTATTTTGTTTTCAAAAGTCTCAGTTAAAGCGTGATGTACAGCTTTTCACTGGTTTTCTCCGATTAAAATCTTCCCACACTCTTACAGCAGGGTAAGAAACACCCCAAGAGAGCCTTTAGTACAAGTGTTATCCATGGATAGTGTACTCACAGCATGGGAGAAGCACATACAGGTAGTAAGCTACTTGGACAATGTTGTTTCCTTGAAAAGTAGGAAGCTGAGATTACAGTGAAAAAAAGTCTTCTCCCAATTCTTTTTCCAGTAAGGGCTAAACGAAGCAGGACCTGAGAGGGTGGATCCTACACATCTGCTAGAGATAGTCCCAGTAAAGAATAATTAGTTCTGAAATTAAAACGAGACAAAAAACCCTGAGAAATCCAACATTCCCCATGTTCAGCCTTGAGTCTACCAGGTGCCTGCAGCTGCAGATTCATGCATCTGCAGAACTGCCCCACCTCAAGAAACCAAGTACCTAAATCCTAATCCTGCTTCTGCCTCACAGGATCTAACAGGCATGCTGATCTGCCCAAACCTTCTCAGGAACCTAATGCAGCAGGCAGAAAAGCATGTTTAAACTGATTCTTCCTGTAACCAACTTAAAACACAATCACAGCTTCTTATTTGAAAGCTCTGCCAGAAGAGACAAGACAGTACTGTAAGAACTTTGACATTCATGTGCTCGCCCAGGAAGCGGAAGAGATTTTCAGCTCTCCTCACGCTGGAGGTTTCCACTTCTTCTCCCCAGAAGTTCACTCCAGCCACCACCCTGGAGGAGATTCTGCAGAGAAGTCCCATCCAACCCTGTGGAAACTGTCCCTGCAGACAACACAGGAGCAGTTGGACTAAAATGAAATGGGGGGGAGCACAGACCACAGCTTGAGATCAACACACACAACACAAAGGACGACAATAGTTACACATTGGAGTATCAGAACAAATCTTTCCTACATGGATAGTCACTGTCTTCTACGCCATGCTCTGGAAGTTGAGGCCCATGGCAGTCTGCTTTGCCACCTAGTCTCAGAAGTTCAAACATTTGAACATTCCCTGTTACAGCTCTCACTATAAAGAACACAGCCCAGTCAGGGTGATGGTGTCTTCTGACTGCCCTTCCAAGAGCCCAGCTCTTCCTAAACAGCCAAGGACTAACACCAAGTTTCTGATTTCACCCTAGCTTCCAGCTAATTCCACAGGTAACAGGATAATCTTCCAAACTAAGCTGAGGCTTCGCTGCTGGCACTAGTTCTACTGCTTCGCAAGATACATAACAGCTAAAAACCCTGAAGTTGACCACTACCCTGCTATTCCTACACTGGAGAATAATTTGACAAAGAACTCATGTCAGTAAAAGCATCAGCTACATCAGCATCGCAGATGAAAGCTGTCACCTAAACTTCATCTTCATCATGGCTAGTCAGTCCATCACAACAAGCACTGAAAGCGACAGGGAGATGTGCTGAGCAAGGCAAAAGACAAGTTGCTTTGCTTTTCATCTACTACTCCTGTAAGTACTGGTTTCTTTGATGTTCTGTACTCTTTCAACTAACACTGAACTCCAAAGTATTTGCAATTCAATATTTTTGGTTTAATTTCTCTAAAAAAAGGGTTTAGTACTACTTCAGATCCATCTGCATGTGTTATTGAGGACACATTTCATTACTGGCACGACTGGCAGCTTGTCCAACAGCCTGCCCCCAAGCCATCCCATCAGTGCTGCTTTACTGCTTTTCACTTCCCTTCTAGTCAAGAGGAGAAATAACAGCCTAATTCCTCTAAAACTAAGTTCCACTAGAACCTTGTTCAAAGCATTAACTTTTCCAGAACTGGTACTACTTCAGTACAGTAGCTCGTGCAAGTTCAGTTGCAATATCTCTTAAAGGCCAGACAGCTTCAAGTCTTCCGGAATCCAACTCTCCCAAGGAAGGGAGGCATTCTTTTCCAGAGTTCGGGGTGGTTTTTTTCCCTTTATCAAGTTTGGAAGGGTTCCACCACCTACATGAGAGCTATTATAAAGTCATTACTTGTCTCACTCAAGCATATACACACACATATTTCAGAAAAACTTCAAACTGGATCACACCAAGCTTACTTTGTTGCAACTACTTTCAGCATCAACACCCATGAGGAGGAACACCCAGTAGCCCCCCAGGAAGCCCTACAGAGCAAACTTCCAGTTAGCGCTTAACTTGCAGTCACGTTCACATGTCAAACCAACTGGTGCTTTCTAAACTTTAAGATTCTAAGTCAGAGGCATTTCAGAAGATGAACCAAAGCCAGGAATCAGTAATCATATTTTAAATTCAGCCTCTAAACCCAGTGCTTTTTGATGGGCATCATGACTCCAGAAACAGCTTATCCATTCTCCCCCTCTACTCTGCGTGATTCTCCCCCTCTACTCTGCCCTCGTGAGACCTCACTTGGAGTACTGCCTCCAGTTCTGGAGTCCCCAACATAAGAAGGACATGGACCAGTTGGAGAGGGTCCAGAGGAGGGCCACGAAGATGATAAGAGGGCTGGAGCACCTTTCCTATGAGGACAGGCTGAAAGAGTTGGGGCTCTTCAGCCTGGAGAAGAGGAGGCTCCGGGGTGACCTTATAGCGGTCTTCCAGTACCTCAAGGGGGCCTACAAGAAAGATGGGGAGAGGCTGTTCAGGAGGTCCTGTTGTGATAGGACAAGGGGTAATGGTTTTAAAATAGAGGGAGGTAGATTCAGATTGGATATTAGGAAAAAATTTTTTACCATGAGAGTTGTAGAACACTGGAACAGGTTGCCCAGAGAGGTGGTGGATGCTCCATCCCTGGAGACGTTCAAGGCCAGGTTGGATGAGGCCCTGAGCAACCTGATCTAGTTGGAGATATCCCTGTTCCTTGCAGGGGGGTTGGACTAGATGACCTTTGAAGGTCCCTTCCAGCCCTAACCATTCTATGATTCTATGATTCAATGAGCATTCCAGAAAGCCTCCTGCTCCACTTTCCCTCTCTAGCTCCCTTTGCACAGTGTGGCACTGCACTCCCAAGCTTCGCTGCGAGGAGCATGTTGCTATACTGGAAGTGAACAGAACAGCTCTAGCTCAGAGCAACACAATCCAGACACTTCCTAACAGACTGAAGGTGCAAGATACCACTGCTTCCAACAAGATAATGCTGCTACTTCCCTGCTACTACAGGCTGTTCTTCGCTCTAGTTGTGATCAGCAGGGACTGACTCTGCCTTTCTTATGGGATAAAACATTTCCTCCCAGAATCACCACAGCCAGTTGGTGCTCATCTCCTTCACACCACTACTAGAAACCATTACTCAGAGGAGGGGAAGAACAGGTCTGGGCTACTCATGCTCTGGATTACAATCAGATTTCCATGCCATCAAGTACGTTCTGTCAGTCCTCCTCAACTGCTCACCCCAGAGCACTGGGACAAAGCCTCAGCAGTTTCTGTGACCAATCACACTCTGAACAAGGACAGTCGACATCGAACGATGCTGGAGTCTGTGGCCTCTGCTCACCCCACAAGCAGCAGACACAAGAAGCTGACATGCACGCAAGTCAGTACACCAGTCAGGACACAGCAATGCTGCACCATTCAGGATTAGTGCATCCAAGGCAGAAGCTGTAACGCGTTAGGAGTTGATGTCTTCAGTTCTTTACTGGGCATATTAAGTCTCAGTGAAGAGTCAGTATTTCAAATTCCTGAATTAGCACTAATTTCACTTAGTTTCAATGATGTAGTTAATGCACAAGAACTACAGCATGGACTGAGTACTAGATATAATCCTAAAGTTTTCCTGACAGCCCTGGGAACTCATGGCACCAATATCTAGAAGAGGGGTGGAATCACAAATCATGATGCTCATTTCTCAGAGTTAAAACCCATATGGGATCTAACCAGCAGATCTTTACACCACCAGCTACTCTAGCTAGAGACAAACACAGAACAGTTCCACATTATGACTGAGAATTTAGTCCTTTGAAGCTTATTTTGAAAGAAACATAACTCACATTACTTTGATTCAGCCAATGGAAGCAACTATGAAACGTGCATATTTAAGCATCTGGAATTTTCATTCTAGGTTACAACATCTGATAAGCACTAACACACTGTTTGGAGCCATATGCTCTGGAAGACACCACCAATATCAAGCAGAAGAGTCCAATCTCATTACATCCAGTTACACATCCCAACAGGAAGCTATCAGAGCAGGAAGAGCCATCACATCCCTTTGACATCCGCAGGTGAAAAGATCTCAAACTTTGTGCTGGACATGAACCCCGTTTCTGCAATTCACTCCACAGAGACAATTCCTTCTTCCTAGCTCCAGCAAACTTGTCAGGCTTCTTCTGCCTGTTACTCCAGCAGCCTAGCAATACCTTTCTCCTTAAGTTACTCCTTTTTTACGGGTTAATTGCCAGCAAAGCACTGCAAAGCCACATTCCTCCCACTCTCGAAAGGCTGACAACATACTTCTCTCCACCATCCTGGGTTGCATGTAGGTGGAATAAGATCTGAGATAAAATATCATATCCTCTATCTTCAGAAGCTTGGGTATACTCCATTTCCATCTCCTCCAGCTGTGGAAGACCATTTTTATGAAGAAAATAAATAGACAGCTTATCAAGCTGACCTATTCCACCTACTTGGCATCATTTGTGGCTTGCATAGCATATTACTTAAGCAGGCTAACATTGAAATTTTCATAATTTCTAGCACAGGCAGTTATTGTAATGGATACTAACCGTATCCTAGATTGGTACCTATAACACTGCCTGCAAGAGAACTAAGCTTGATTCTCAATACTTACTCCTATAATTTCAAGTAGGACAAGAGCACCTTTCAGTGCAATCACTCAAAAGCCATCACTGCTCAGCATCACTTTTTGCACATTTGCCCCTCCCTAAACTGCAAAGCAGACACAGAAACACCCGTCACTAAAACATTTCAGAATCTCATGCCCCACCTTTACTTATCTGCAGAAAGTTTCAACACTTACAGGTCACAGCATTTCCTGTGCTATGAAAGAAAACACTTTTTTCTGTCTTCCAAAACCACTGTGATCAGTAACAGCCGAAGCAATGCAGATATCAGATGTCAGCCTCCTCCCCGCAAGTTATCTACAAGCACTCCTTCACAAAAGCTCCTCCACCTCCACCAAAAAAGTTAATTTTCAAATGCTACAGTACATACTTTAGTCTAAACAGACAAAAGGCGTCTCAGCCCTTTAGATAAAGCTTGAAGCATGACAGGTAGTACAAGAAATCTGCCATAGTTCCTTCAGTTACATTACTGGAACAGGTTGCCCAGAGAAGTTGTGGCTGCCCCATCCCTGGAAGTGTTCAAGGCCAGGCTGGATGAGGCTTTGGGCAACCTGGTGTAGTGGAAGGTGTCCCTGCCCATGGCAGGGGGGTTGGACCTGGATGATCTTTGAGGTCCCTTCCAACCCAAACCATTCTATGATTCTATGACTATTATCCCTTCTGAATGGGCTCACCTAGGCATTTAAATAGGTCTTAATATTCACCACAAAGCCAAGCTGTATCACTACACTCAGCACTACCTGACGTGATTCACTAGACAAGCTCTTTTCTTCTAAAGTCTTACTGCACGTGGTTACATGGGCTTATCGCATAAGAAAACAGGTGAAGCACACAGGAGAAGAGTTTGAAGTCTGCAAGAGCCACGGGCTCATACCCAGCCTTCCCCCGAAGTGAGGGAAGTACGCATGAAAAGGAAAGAAATCAGTTTCCTGTACAGAGAGACATGAAGGAACATGAGGTCTCATCTGTTGACAAAACAACACTCCTTAAAAAAATAAACAGAAGAGGTAACAACTTCAATGCAAAAACTTAAACTCCACGTTGGAGGGAACAGGAAGAGTGGGAAACATGACTTACCAGAGAGAGGCAACATCTGCTCAGATCCCATCAAAAGAACAGGACTGTCAAAAGGAACACGGGGAAGAGGCACAATTAAAGCCCCAAAACTACGTAAATAAAAAGCCTTAACAAGGCGTCCTTATAAAAAGAACGGGAATTCTGGCCCCGTGCACAGGG